CACACACACACACACACACACACACACACACATATACACACGCGTGCTTGCAGAGCTGGGTCGATGTAGTCCCAACCCCCCCACACACACACACACACGCGTGCTTGCAGAGCTGGGTCTATGTAAGTCCCACCGTGATCATCTCACCCGGGGACGTGACGAGCCCGCTGCGCCCTGCCAGGCCTGCTCACAGCTGCCGTTTTCAGGTGATGCTTCCTCCTGGGGCTCAGCACTCTGACGACAAAGGTGCTAAAGAAGTCATTCTGGACGACGACGAGTGTCCCTTGCAGATCTTCAGGGAGTGGCCGAGCGATAAAGGTAGGAGCAGCCCGTGTCGGGACCTCTGTCCCCTGTGAGCCCTGCGGCGTGCACACGAGAGCTTTCGGGGCCTGCCGTGCAGCCTGCCCTGCCCGGGTGGACGGGTCCAGGCCGGAGCGTCCCCGGCGGGTTGCCCATCCCACGGCCGCACTTGCTCATTCGAGCCCCGTGGAGGCAGTCAGCAGGTGGGCCCACGGCCTGCTGCACAGTGATGGGCCGTGGGAGGTGCTGGCACTGGCCACGGCGGCACGTCTTCCACACGTTGCACGCCGACCGCCTACCGTCCTGAGATACCCGTAATTTAGTCCTCACGCGGTTTCCTCTGGCTGTTTCCAAGCAGCGCACGCTCACAGCTGTTTGATAAGTAGTTTTCTTTCAGGTTCATGTAAGTTAACTGCTGCTCATAGAGGGTTTCTGCTTTGATGAGGACACACAACGTTATTGCCAGTTAATTGTGTTCATGTTGGAGGTAGATTAGTAGTTTACAAAACAAAGAACCTCCACAGAGACCCCTTTCTTTCTTTTTTTTTAACTTTTATTTTTTTTTAAGAGGTTTATGCTATAGGGCGTGTGCGCTCACCAGAGAGGGAGAGACGGAGAGACAGAAAGCGAGAAATAATCCCCCAGGGGGAATGGCCACGCCGCAATCCCTTCTCCTCCCTTCTCCTCTCGGGATCTTGGGCACGCACACACGTGCAAGTCTGAGTTAAGTCAGCTGAGACGCAGAAGTACCAGGCCCTAGTATGTTTGCGTGTGTATAGACACAGCTACACACGTTAGTGTGTGTGAGTGAATGCCCATTCATTATTTTTAAGGTAACATTGGATGGTTTCCAAGTGTGCGATGCCTTAGTAGCTGTTAATTTAACCTTTGGGAATGGTTTGTTGGGGTGTTCGCAGCACACCAAGCAACTGTTATTTCTCTCTCGAATGAAGTGTAACTGTGCAAGCCAGACACACCTGGCTAGAGTGACTTCTGCGGGGTGTCCTCGAGCAGTGGCCAGTCAGATGGCCATCCACACTGCCTTGAAGCTGGTTGATGATTTGCAATGTTATGCCCTAGGGATTTTAGTCTTCCAGTTGAAGAGGAGGCCTCCAGACTACATCCCAAAGAAGATGAGGAAACCCGCGGAAGGGAAGGTGCCGAAGGGGAGGGAGCGAGCCGAGGGGTCGGGCTACAGCTCCTCCCTCCCCGCTGAGAAGCTGCCCTACTTGGTGGAGCTGAGTCCAGGTGAGTGGGCTGCTCCGGGACTGAGCACGCCAGTGGTTGTAAACGTGTGTACTTCAGAGTGACCTAAAGTAGGCTTGCTAGTGACCTAGACTGTATTTAAAAACAAAACCTCCTAAGATACCATTTCTTTAAAAAAAAAAAAAATTGAAGGTTATGGAACATACACATTCTTGCATGATAGTAAAGCTCACGTGTAGAGAAGGAAGTGCTAAGAAAATCTGAATTATGTGTGGCGTTTTAGGGCGTTTTAGATGACTCATTCCTTTCCTTTTCCCCTAAAGTGTTACTTAAGTAATCTACCCAAGATGACAAGCTGAATTCACTCCTGAGGGCAGGTGTGTGCACATGCAGGGTCGACAAAAGGTCTCTATGTTCTACAGTTTATCTAAGAAGTGGTTCTTAGGAAGGGGAAGACTATTTGATCTTAAAATGATAACTAAGTATTTTAATGTTAATTCTGTATCTCTAAATGCTTAGCTTGCTGAACTCTAATGAGCTAAAGTTGTCATAAGCTAAATAACCCTTAGGTAGAAAAGTGTAGTGACGGTTTTTCTTTTTCAAACTTTTTAAACTTTCTATTGTGGGGGGTGCAAGCACCCCCAGTGGAGTCTTATGCCAGTCACCTCCCGAGCCCTCCAGCCAGCAAGGATGACAGGCACACGCAGTTGACCTGGGAACCGAATCCCAACCTTCCACGTGGCTTCTAGCCTCGCCAAGAGTCAGGTTGCATCACTGTGGCTGGGCACTCCGACGTCCTTGAGCTGCTGTGTACACGTGCGCCCTGTGCAGCGTGTGTGCTGGGCACCCCGACGTCCTTGAGGAGCTGCTGTGTACACACGCGTCCTGTGCACCCTGAGGTCCTTGAGGAGCTGCTGTGTACATGCGCGCCCTGTGCAGCATGTGTGTGCAGAGAAGTGTACCCTGTGTGACTGATCACTCAGCTGAAATGGCATCGTATGTGCAAGGGCGTTACGTGAAGATCAGAGTATTGGATGCCTCGCCCCAGACCGCATTTCAGTAAAGCCAACTAGCAGTCCTGGAAGAAGGCGACAGGAAAGAGGACCAGTTAGAGCGTGGGAGGCTCCCTGGGCAGTAAGCACAGTTATACAGAGAGTGGAAGGTTCCCTCGGCAGTAAGCGTGTTTCCTCTTTGGTTCGTGAGAGTTTCTTTTTGTTTACAAGGTTGGTTTAGCTTCTTAAAATCCTCGGCCCTGTCATTACCTGGCGAGGGGCTAGGGCGGAGGTGCATGTGCCCACAGTCCTGGGCTGCAGACGAGCCTGAGAGGAACAGAGCAGAGTGGGGTCCCCGGGACAGCGCCCCTTCGCAGGCGGTGCTGTGCTCTGGCGGTGCTCCTCGCTCTTCCCACGTTTGAGGACTTTCTGGCCCTGAGCAGCTGCAGCCAGGGTTCTGCTCGCTGCCCCCCTGGTGTGCGCTGGGCGGTCCGCGTGGTTCTCGGCGTGGTGCGGAAATGTGGCCCAGGGCACTGTATGTGAAAGATGAGAGCCCAGAGCTGCTGGGTGTCGGGCACAGGGAGAGGACCATCGTTTCAGACTCACAGTTCTTGGGGTCTTCCTTGGGGGCTGGGCATTAAATACGGGAATCTAACGATCTCGTCCTCCAAAGCCGAATTTTCGAGGACTGATGAGCATTAGCCTTAGTTCTGATCGATGGTAGTTGACAGAGTAGTTTTCAGATGAATCGCGGAAGTTGACAGGATGAGGATCCACTTATTTGACAAACCCCAGTAAGCGCGTGTGTGGGCCTCGCGTGAGCGGACAAGCCCACAGCCTCATGCGTGTGTCCTCGTGGCACTGGTGTGCGGTACTGCAGCTTCCCAGGCACTCAGGCAGCAGGCGCTGTCCTTGCGGCAAGGTGGCCGAGGTGCTGCATGCGCCCCGGACGCTGGCACGGCGCCTCCTGCACGGCCAGGTCCCCCAGCACTCAGCCCTCCCACTTTGCTGACGTCTACACGTTTGCTTTAGGCTCTGCGGCAGGTCGGGGCAGGAGGTGTTACAGTGGCTCCTGCCTCCCTGCAAGCCCTGCACCAGGAAGTGGTCAGGGTTAGGTCAGAGCTGCCCTGCCCCTGTCCCCATGGTGGCTGCCTGGAACCCGCCCTGCTGGTCACGGGGACGCTCCCTCAAGAGCGCGTGGGCGTCGGGGCAGGCCGGATGCCAGACCAGGCCCTTTCTGGCACCGTAGCCGTGTTCTCCATGGGCCGTGGTGTGTTTTCTGGGTTTCTTTGCTGACTGCTCACTGTTGGCGTGCTGGGCGGAAGTGGCCTCTTTCCTGTGGGTGCCAACACTCGCACACGCGGGTTCACTGCTTCCACTGGGCACAGCGTCAGCCACGCCCCTGTCCTCCGTGTCGAGGCCCCACTAGGCGTGGGTAGGTGGCTTGGTGACGTGGGCACACGCTTGTACTGTCTGGAGGACTGGGGAGTCGGGCTGTTATTTTGTTGTCCCTTCTGTGTGGGTGGTAGCCTCTCTGGTCACCTCACTGCTGCTGTCCTGCCTGGTGACCCTGGTCATCTTGCCACGCCGTGGCGGTCCCTGTAGCTCCCAGACACGGGCCGGGCACTCGCGCTGTCTTGTCCTCACAGCTCTGAACACTGGTGGGTAAAATGTACCTTTTCTTCCTCTGGAACGCGCCTCACGGAGCTCACCCTCTGCGTCTTCTCCCTCCCTCTCCCGTGTGCTCTGCATGGTCTGTGCTGCTGCCGCCGCCTTCACCTGGGTCCCGGCATGCACCTCCCAGGGAGAAGGGACCACTTTGCCTACTCCAGCTACCGCACCTCCGAAGGTAACCCATGCTTCCTCCTACTTGGTTACTCATGCGAGCGCGGACTTGGTGGTGCAGCGGGCCCACTGCGGGGCCTGTGCGTGAGTGCGAGGACGGCCGCTTCTTTAAAGAAACGGAGCGTGCTTCTGCTCACTCGTTCCTACGAAGTGTTCCGCACTCAGAATTCCTTGCATGTACTGGGAGCATGCTTCGAGTCTCACGGGTGTTTTCCCGAATTTACCCGGTTCTCCCTGGGAGCCCCAAAGGCTCCCGCAGAACCAGCTCCATGCACCGATGTGCTGCAGACACTGCAGGGCCCTGTCCTGGTGGGGGTGCTCTGCGTGTGCCTCACCGCGAGCCCAGGGGTGGTGGTCTGTGCTGGAAGGACGGCACGTCGGCCAGGAGAGATGACTGGGACCGCGCTGAGCCAAGGGGCGTCCAGGCTGGAGCTGTGGACAGCGATGTTATGTCGGCTGCCACCGCGAGAGGACACAGCCCATCTAGTAAGGGAAGGATGGTGGGCTGCCACGCAGGGTCAGACACTGGCCCACGTCATCCAGCTCTGTTGCCCCGTCCCCGTCCCTGCCCCACCACAGAACTGACAGCAGTTAGCCAGTGGCTCCCATCCCTGTTGTGAAGCAGCAGAGGAGACCAGGGAAGCGCTTGTTTCTGCTCTGTGGTCGTGGAGCGAGGAGGAGGGGTCCGGAGCCGCCCTGGGTCTCGCTCTTCACACTTCCGAATCTCCAGTGTAGACAGCCATACCGCTTCACTGGGTCACCAGAGGCCTTGCAGAAGCCTTCAGAATTCAGGAAGGTTTCTGTGGGAATTTTTCTTTCCTCCTAAACAGACGTAAATGTCAGGTTCATGCGTTCCCAGCCTTGTAATGAGATCACTGTTCTCCATGGGGGTTACCAGCCCACGTTGCTTCTCATGTAATTTACCCGTGCGACTCTGTGTGACTGTTGTGTTTTCTTCGTCTCTGCAGTTTGTGCGGTTAGCACGTTAGGTCTTTGTGGATGGTGTGCTGGGCCTGTGCACAGGTGGGCAGTGGTGCCCTGGGAGGGACAGGGGACTGCCACCCCTCGGAGAAGCCCTGAGGACCGCAAGGCCCCCAGCAGGCCAGGGGGTAGCTGGAAAAGCAGCCGCCCCTAGCCAGCGAGCAGCAGCGCCGGCAGCTCCCGGGAGCGG